AAACTCAGCAATGTACAGATATGGGTAAGTGCAAAGATACTCTTCCTAGGAACGCTTTGGTATCAACCAAAGAGGACACAGAGATTGCCCACATGTTCAAGAAAACGTTATTATAATACTGACCAGAACCCCTCCCCAAACCATACCATTTAACATGACGAGCGAGGAAAATCATCAAATCCTGTGCCCATCCTACTTACTTGTAATCTCATAAAAGCTAAAGTAAAAAGATCAAACAGGTTCGAAAGTTAAAATATCAAGGATCTATAATTACACCTGTTAAGAATATATTCCACAGAAATGAAATGGAAAAATGCTAGGCTATGGCTTAAAATAGTTTCAATAAAATGAGCCAAATCCTGAAAAATAGACTCAGTGGCTACCAAAATGAAAGTTTTGAAAGGCTATCAGTATCACGTGAAGTCAACCCTTCGAATCTATGAGTGGCTGTGAAAGCTGGACAATCATGGAAGAAAGTCATAAACAATGTGAAGCATCTTCAAAAATATAATTGCACAGATCAAATTGTACTTGTGGAATGGTGTGTACGTCTCTGCATTCATTGATCATGAGAAGGTATACTCCGAAGCATGACAGGAGTACACGAAAGACCACGGAAAATCTAATAAAGTCAGCAGACCTCCAAAAGCAGGCTGCCACAAAGTCATGAATTCTCAGCAGTTTTTCATTTACTCACAGTCTGATATAATTCACTTGAGAATCCTACTCAGGAAGAGGTCAGGCAAAGGGGGGGACCAATTAGTTAACACGGTATAGGAACTGGACAATGAAACTTGGCTTGGGATCAAAACAGCACTTTAAGCAGAATAGCAAGCTGATTTATTGAAGAAAAGTCCAAGAAGCAACGTCCGAAAGCTAAAAGAAAAAGAAGAATCTGACAGTTTTGAAACATTTGCAGCAGTCTACAAGTAAGACAGAAAAGTCTCTATTTTGCTGCTCTCTGTAATTTGAGTAGAGTATTTCTGCATACATTCCCTAAAAGTCCTTTGGAAGTCCAAGAAGAGGATGAAGTAGTGTTGTGGCTAAACAACAGAGGTGGACAAAAATATAAGACGAGAGCTGAATATTGTTTTCGATGCCTGTTGTTTTATTGAACAGTTGATGCAAGTCAGGCAAATAAAATAATCATGCTGAAACTCTTCCAGCCGGGAAAAACCTTTTAGTCGGCCAACGTTTACCATTTAACGATCAAAAGGGAAATGGTTAAGGCTGTAAAAACTATAAAAATTTAATTAATTTGGCTTGCACACAACACTTCTGTGATGTGAAGTCTGGCATGCGCTATCATGTGCTAAACATGTTAACGTAAATTTTTACTTCAAAGACTGAGAAATATAGACTCTATTATCAAACGTCAACTGCCATTGCAAGTATTAATTTTTTTTTAAACAATGTAGATTATTTCCTCACCTTCTGAACCTTGATATTCGTTTGTAAACTATATTTCTGATTGATTGTTATCGAAATACGTTGATCATCCGATTAAATAAACACTGGGGAGGCTTTCAGCTGTCTTTGTTTACAAAATGCCAATTAAACTTCCCGGCATGGCTGCTGGTTGCCAGGAAAACTTTTCTAATGCATGTACCGAGTAAAGTTTGTTTTGGTTTTTTTCCTGAAAAGAATTGCTACCATACTTTCAGTTGCCTCCGAGGAAGCCTACGCAGAGAACCTTGAGCCGATTTAATACAAGGTTGTT